GGAGGGGTTGCGCGAACGGTCAGGAAATGCTATATTTTACGGATTGTTCGTCAACTTGTTGGTCAACCATATATTTCGATCGTTCGTAGGAGGTAGGGGAAGGTAATGCTCGTCAATTATTTGGCTCGGGCAAATTTCCAGAGAACGTTGATAAGATTCGCGAATCGCGCTGATGGTTTTTGACATTAGGAGAGAGAGAGAGAGAGAGAGAGAGAGAGAGAGAGAGAGAGAGAGAAGAAAAGAAAGGAAAGAAAAAAAAGCGATGAGTAATCTGTAGTAAAATCGGACGGCGGAGTCGAGTGACGTTAAACTGCGTCGTAGATAGCCGCTTTATAGTCTCGTAATTTTCATCGTAACCGCGGCGGAACGATGCCTCCGCGTTGCTTTGCCCCCTCTGGCCGATCCTCGCGGACGAGAGAAAGAGACGGCGGGACTGGGCTGGAACCCTGGGCCGAGATCGCATTGGGCAGGGGGATGAGAAAAAGGACGAAAGAGTCCTTGGAGTGGCGCGAACTATTAAAAAGCGCGCGTCCGCTCGAATTCTCGCCGGTAGTAAATTACCCGAAAAAAGAAATAACCGTTGAATTCGACCGCTCTCCGCCTCTGTCACCGTGCCGCTCAGTTTTCAACCCCCCCCCNCCCCTCTCCCCTCCCCCTTTCGCCTCCTTTCTCTAAAGGCCTCGTCTCCTTCTCCCCTCGCAGCCCCCGTTGGGTCGGTCCAAGTGTGGTGGCTCGCTCGAGAGATCGTCGCTCTCTCTTTTCCAGGGTAAAAAACCCTCTCGACGAGGAGCGAGCCGCGGTCTCAGATAAAAAATTAGCCGGAGTTGCAAACGTTTCCACCTTAAATCATATATTTATCGCGACATTAATTCAACCCTTTTAGGTACCCTTTTTTCCTGGCGGCCACTCCGCACCCGGGACCGAAACGCCTCCAACTCATCCCGTCTCCACGTCCCTCCCTCCTCCTCCTCCTCCTCCTCCCCCTTATGAGGGATCCCACCACTCTTTTTCCACTCGGTTCCGTCCTCGGTCCTCTTCCTCTCCTTGCCCGGCCTGCGACTCCTGCGGCGAACGACGTCCCGTTAGTCCTCTCCCGCTAATTTCTCAGATTCGAGTATTTTTATGTACCGTCGCGCGAACCTGACGGGGGTAAATCCTCTCGTTTATTATTTAGAAGAGGAGGGATGCGCGTGGGACGTGGAAGGAAAGGGGATGGTCAGAGGATGTCCGTCCAACGCGCGGACGAAGGCGTTTACCTTGTCCTCCTCCTCATCCTCCTCCTCTTTTTGATGGGGATATACGATCTCGTTATCTCTTCTTACTTCGACTGACTCCCTGCGATTATCCTTCTTTACGGTCGGTTTGCTCGATCGTGCACCCCTCCCTACACTCGCACGCGCCCTTCTTGTACGCTGCTCGTACGCGCGTTCCGGCGAAGAATCGTACAAAGGTTTCGAATCCGGGATCCGTTCTTTAACCACTCGCGTTAAAGGGTCCGCTACGCATCCCTTTTCTTCTTTTTCGTTATTTAGGTTTATAAATTACACCCTTTTGTCTCTTATTGATTTCGCATCGATACGTGTATATACGTACGAGTTTTTCATCTTTTCGCGCGAGAAGATGGAGGATGTTAGAGGAATACGTTTGAAAATTTATAGAACCGTTTTATATCGTACAAAGTACGAGGTTCTACACTCGCGTGCAGCATGACGTAATCAAACGCCATCGAATCTACGAGAACGCATTACTCACAATGAAATAGGAAACGAGACGTATGTACATTAGAACCCCAGCGCAACGGTTGTTTACTTAATAAATACATATTTAGTATATGCCACGTACACAAGCCTCGGCAGGCCGGCTGCGCCTATTTTTGCTCTCAGTTTTGTTGTCATAGGACCGGGCGATGGGCTGCGGCCACCCCTCGTTCCGCTACCATTGGCTTTCGTAGTACATCTACCTACTAGACGTTGGACAATGGGAACGGTTAAAGGTGGAGGAGAATCTGTCTCGAACGATTCTTCGCGCGCGATAAAATTAGTATCGTTTCTTTAAAGTCCGCTAATGAAATTTCTCCTCGTCATCTTTTTGCTCGAGGCGTAGGGGAAGGGAGGATGGGATTCTTAGAAAACGTAGTCGTATAATTCTTTCAATCGCTTGTTCTTCGTTTATTTCTTCTCTCTCTCTCTCTCACTCTTTTTCCTCTTTTTTTTTTATTTTTTATTTTTTCTCTATCACATTTACAACACGAGAATGGAGGTAATTCCTGGCGTATCAGCGGAAAATTTTGAAAGCATAGCTGTACGCGGTACCAATTGTCGCGCGTTTGAAATACGAGTGAAAGGAATATTTTAAGGACACGCCGTTTCGAGGAATATTTCGTCCCCCATTTCCGGTTCGCCTATACAAACTTGAGCCGGTGGTTCAGGTTGCGTCAGACAACACGTGTACACACGTATTTACGGATCGATGTGTGCGACCACCTCCTCGTGTCCGTGTATAACCAGTCAAGAGCGGAATATTCATAATTTATTAGTGAGCCCGTGAATCGAACGGTTCGAGTGCGGCTGAAAGAGTCACAGTCGAACTTATATTCCACTTATCGCGAGAAATATCTGCTCGTTAGATCCACAGTGCTAACGAATCATTTTCTCAACGTTTGTTCCAATTTCCTTTGTAACGTTCTATAAATTGTATCCACGAAATTTTCGATTCTCTTCTTAGATGAAAACGAATAGAGGAAAACGTCATCGATCGATCCGAGTATCCGATTAATCATTAAAAAAAATCGTTATCGATCGAACAATAAAATCTTCTCGTCACTAGTCGACGATATCTAAACAAGTCACACGCCTCGGGATAAAATCCTCGGTTTCCACGAAACTCGAAAAATGGAAAATTGGCTGGTGATGCGAACGACCGCGAGCTTGGTTGATTATCGAAGTCGGCCGGCAACGAAGTCGGTCGACCAGCCGCGCTTGTCACGAAGTTAGGCGTCGCGAACAGCCGCTTGCCAAACAAGCGTGCGACGATGCGTAATGTTCGAGCACAGACGAGCATATGGGACGAGAAGAGCATAAGGCAAAAGAGAGAGAAAAGGCCAGGCCAAGCTAAGCCGAGGCAGCCAGTCAGCCACACAGCAACGGTATACAACGTGCCTCGTATATGATGTACTGGTTTGCCTGGCGGCGGTGGGGTCAGGGACGTGACGAAGGGTGGGTGTTACGGTGGAGCGAGAGGGGCAAAGTCTTCAGACACGACTGTGGGGCAGGGGAGGAGGACAGAGAGGCCGCGATAAGTGGGGAGGGGGAGATGCCGACAGAGAAGGTAGGGCACACACAAGAGTAGAAGACTGTTTGGCAGGGAGGGGAGAGAAGGGAGAGCTGAAAGCAGGCCTGTTGGTTGGTTTCAACTATATTTGTTTATATTTACACAATAAGCAACAGCCTCGCCGGTTGGGCTGCTTGGTATGCCTGTGCCGCTTTTAGTGTTTAGTCCTCGCTACTCGGTCGCCGCGTGAACGTTGCTTTTCGTCTTCTTTACGGCGTCGCCTGTTTCCTCCTCTCCTTCTCCTCCTCCACCATAGTTGTCGTCCTCCTTCCATCGCATTCGTCCGCACCGCCTTCTTCTTCGTCATTCCCTCGTTCCATCCGTTTTCTTTTCGTTTCCTCTCCTTTTCCTCTTTTTTTCTCTCTCTCTTTCTCTCTCTCTTTCTCTCTCTCTCCTTTTTCTCTCTTTCCATCGCGAGTTCCATCCTCACACACGAATTTTGACGGCACCTTTGCGCGGTCCACGTGCGTGTACGTCGTACCCCACGTCGTCGTTTCTTTCAAACTTGTGTTCTTTCACCCTGTGCGTGCGCGAACGGTGACGCCATTGAATATCGTTGGCTTCGTTTCGAGGTTATAAACGAGAACGAACGAGCAAATTCGAGTGAGTTGGTGAATTTTGTTTTTTGGTGGAAAACTTGGACGCGATTTACGATTAATACGCGTGATCGTTGATGCGCAAATTGGAGGATCGGCGTACTTCCGGCGAACTACAGTGAATCCTCGTCGTTGAATTCTCTCCTTCTCTCTCTTTATTTCTCTCCCTATTTCTTTTCCTCTCTTTCTCTCTCCTTCTCTTTCTCTCTCTCTCCCTCTCTCTCTCTCTCTCTTTCTCTCTCCCCGCGAATGGTGTTCGTGTTCAACGTATGCTCTTCTATCTGCGACGTTATTATTTTTCTCTCTCTCTCTCTCTCTCTCTCGTGTCGCGAAAAGTGTTGCTCATCGTGGCGTATCGAGAAAAGACGTCCTTGTCGCGAAGAGACGCTTCGTGTGTATCGCGCTTCCATGAATTCCAAGCTGGCCGTTGGACGCTTGAAATTGGGGACCAAGGACTTTTCTTAAAGTAAGCAAATCTTTGCAAACGGAATAATCCTGTTTACACGAAAAAACCAGGGGTACTACACCGTTGTACATTTTTACTTGGCCGTCACGCGAGACTGCAAACGATAGAATATATTATTAGCGGTGCGTTTGTGTGTGTATATGTGTGTATGTGTGTGTGCGTGCGTATTTGTGTGCCGCCAGCCAAACATTGTTGCCTTTGCCTCGAGTGTATGGAATCACATGCGTCATACGTGATCTAAAATTGTTCGCCCGCCGAGGGTAATATCGTATAACAAAAGCACATTTCGCGAGATCTTCATAGAATCAACGATCTTTTCCTCTCTTTCTCTCTCTTTTTCTCTCTCTCTCTCTCTCTATTTCTCTCTCATCTCCCTCTCTCTTTCTCTCTTTCTCTCTTCTTTCGACACGATCGTTATTATAAACGTTACGCGTTTCGCGAGTGAGAAACACTCTTTTTCGCGAACGATGGCGGCGAATTCGTCGTTTGCCGGTCGAGAAATTTCGCGGCATGACGTAACGAGAATCGGAGTTCAACAACGGTGTTCAAGTTCAGTGCACCAAAGGAAGGAAGCAGACCGATTGACGTAACGATGATCGTGATTTCAGGACGATGGCATAATGGATCATGACACAGACGGAGACGGAGCGATCAACTTGTCAACGTCACAGCGACCCTCCGCCGCCACCACCCCTAACGGTGACACCCCCTCGTACGGCCAAGATCAACAAGACAACGACCAGGTAAGGAATTAATCTCTGGAAATTTGCTTTCGATAAGATAACCGTGTGGATCTTCCTACAGATTCGTGAAATCTTCTTTAAGCGTCTTTCTACAATGGTTCTACAGGAATTTCATTCAAAATACTATACGATTTCGATTCTCATGTTCAAAAAAGATACTCATCGATACGACAAGTATCGATATTTTTTTTTCCTTTTTTTTTTTTTTCCCCTCCCTCTCCTCCTAAATCGAATTTACGTGGAACGCGGAGATAGAGTTATTAATAACCGACGACTTCACTCCATAAACAGTACTAATTTTAGAAGCAAACATCTGCTTACGTACGATAAAGAGGAACACGGTCGCCAAGACGTCCGGTTAGACTCATTGATTTCTCGGAATAGAAGAATCTCGGAGCGATAAGAGGCTACGATCTATCCCTCTCGTATCTCAGTCCTGTGGGTCTCGTAGGGAATCGAAAATGAAATTGAACCGTTTCAAACCGTCGCATCTCGCGTCGATACACAGGCTGGTGGGTAAACGAGTAAACCGATAACGATCCTCTTCGAGGAGGGTTTCGATTTTAAGGCGAAACTTTTTCTTCCTTCTTTCTCTCTCTCTCTCTCCCTCTCTCTCCCTCTGTTTCTCGCGGTATAAGTTTTTCGAACGCGATACTCGAGACGCGTTTGACACCCGGCCACCATAAAATCGAGCCCCCTGATTTCAAATTCAATTCGAAATCCCGCGTTCGCGGGTGAACGCAATATACCGTTCCGGGTAGCGGCGCGAACGTCGTCGAGGGAAACAAATGTTTTATGGCCCTTAAAGCGGCCTTTTCGACGGTTTCCTTTTCGAATAGGGGGGGGGGGGACGAATATGGTCGCACGCACCTTCCAGCCCAGGTATAGAGTCACCTTTGGAATGCATATATATATATACGTGACACACAGGTTTTTCCCTGCCTCGTGTACCTCTTTATCGTCGGGCAAACATTGTCGAGTTTTTAAACAATAAATCAATTTCAATATATATATATAAATGCATAATGCATAAACAAATGAGAAAGACGAAAATGGTTTCTCGTTCGTTTTCAGGAAAGATCGATTTAGAGTTATTAATATATTTTGAAATTTCTTTTTTTATCCCCATAACCTTCCATTCCATTTTCCCATCGAAAAACAAAGAATATTGGATATTCGACGTTTCCCAAGCTCAACGTTTCACCCCATTCGTGCGCGAGATCGGTCGATAAGTTTTCTTTCATCGATAACGCCCACACCACCGGTAGAAATAAATTATTTTAATAATCGCCTGGGACACATTAGCCGGGGATATTTTTATTCGTACACCGCGTTTACGCGCTCGTGTGCGTAGATAGTAACGGTGAATATCAAGTTCACGTGACGCACCAGGTAAATACGTGTGTACCACCACGGGCCTGTGAATTACACGTGCGACACGTACATCTGCTCGCCTGTTGGTTACGTGTAAACAGAGATTCGCTTATCGTCGGTCTGACACGTATATACATAAGTGTATCGAGGAAAGAGAGGAAGGGAGTGAAAGGGGGAAGGACAGAGAGGGAGTGAGAGAAAGAGAGAGAGAGAGGGAGAGAGAGAAAGGATATTTTTAACGATACACCGCGTGGTCTAATTTTTCGACGAGTTTTTTGTTTAATCCGTTCGTTTGATTCCCGGCTAAAAGCAAGCTGGAAAGGTTGCATAAATAGAATCATCGCCAGCTTGCATGTCAAAACTGTCGCGAAAAGGTAATCGAATCGTTATTTCTCTATTTATTACTTTCCGACGTATCGATGGATGATGCGTTCGTTCGGTAAACGATATTGGACGATACATTAGTAGCGGCGAAAGGAAGGCCCCCCTTTCGAGAGATCGTGAGATTCGAGGCGATTCGAAGATCGAGTTTTGAGAAACTATCAAGTTCTGCTGACCATTCGCCAGCTCGACCGCGACTTCCTGTCCTCGTCCATTGTCCCATAGGGAGAGAGGGAGGAGACCAGTCTTGCTACCCACCGTAACTTCAACGCCAGTGCTGATGTTCCAACTCTGCTAATACCTTCAATTGTTTTCTTTGTTCAATTATTTGTAATTACACTGTACCCCTCCCTTCTACTCCCTTCGACTGCGTTTTCATTGCCGAACGGATATAGATTCACGGATAGATATTATCTTGGACACTCGATTTACTTCGTTCTTCGTTTCGTTCATCGTAATACGAGCCGTAATAATCGTGGAGTTACGTGGGATTAGATAGAAAAATTAATCAAAAATTGGATCGAATATATCCATGTCGATCCATTATCCCTTATCAGAAATTAATTAGAACTAGCGTTCGCGCGAAGATTGACGCGAAACTTGCAGAGAGACCGGCCGCACGAGTTTAAACTTGAGATCTCGTCCAATGGACCTCCAGTCTTAAGTTTCCATCAGGTTTCGATCCAATTCCCGCGAAGCGTTGCGTTTATAATTTAAGAGGGTCGCTCGAGTGACGTCACTGGAGACGTCGAAAACACGAAAGTTCCGCCAATGTTCGACCGGAATCGGGAACCGGATACGGTGCCGATCATCGGCTCCAAATGAAATTAATAATCGATGTGCGAAAGCGTTAACACGTGTATTTACGGAACGTTGAATCAATCGGATCGAATGGACGGATCCTATCAATCGTGTTAAACGAAATAAGATATCCGTTAAATAATGAATCCGCCGATTTCTCTCGGGACGGGACGGTGGCGCGCGCGGTTTATACCTGACCCGCGAAAAATAAAGTGTCCTCCTCCGACCTGTATCCGTTTCGATAAAACGCCGCGTGGCTAAACTCGGTTTGAAGTCGCGAGCATGGCGATTTTCCGCCGTTAATATTAGCCCGATAGTCGATACCGCGAACATTTTGAAATCCGTTGGACGAGAGGGGGAGGGTGTAGAAAATAGAATTCGACGAATCGTTTCCTGTCGCCTCGGTTTAATACACCTCCCTCTCTCTCTCTCTCTCTCTCTCTCTCTCTCTCTCTCTCTCTCTCTCTCTCTCTCCTTCCAATTTCGGAATATATATCCCGCAACACACCTTTAATACACCAAGTCGGGGAGGAGGAGGAGGAGGAGGAAGTGGAGGAGAGCGGAGGAAAGAACGCATTAAAACGTCACGAGCCCTGCCCCCTGCCTCCTCCACTCCCATAACCCCCTCGATCAACTTGGAATTCGTGATCACGACGTCGGAATTCCCTGATTAAACAAACTTTCGCCGGTGTCGATATTTCATTAGAATCACGGGGGGCCGTTTATCTCCACGGTTAATATCCAAACCTGGTCCGTTCCCGTGGACCGAGCAAGGATCGAAAGGATCTCTCTCTGCCCCCCTCCCCCCTCTCTCCTAAAGGATAAGAGCGGCACCACCGCAGCTCGTCGGCTATTGACGAGGAGGAGATGGCCTCCGCGCTCCTCCCTTGAAATGCAAAAAAGGGGTTGCTGGGTGGTGGTGGTGGTAGTGGTGGTGGTGGTGGTGGTAGTAGTAGTAGTAGTAGTAGTAGTAGTAGTGGCGTAGCAGGCGAGAAGAAAGGAGAGGATGCGCTTGGATAAAGGAGAGGGGGGAGGGAGGCCGAAGGACGAGAACGAGAAATAGAGGAAAAAACTGGGTGGAAGAAGAAGAAGGTGGGCGGCGATGGTGGAGCGGCGAGGAAAAGAAAGGATGAAAGACGAGTTCTCACCTCCGATTCCCCTCTTTCGCCTCGCAAATTGCGGATAGGCTGTCCTTTCCAATCAACCTGCCCTGCTCCCCGTCCCGCACTCCTCCCCCCTCCTCTCCCCCTTTTTGCTGCCCAATTCTTCCCTCCCTCGCTCGCTCGCTTCCGTTATACTTTTCCACCCTCTTCGCGCTACCACCCCCGCATTCCTGTAGGAAAACTTCAGGCTGCAGCTTGATCCGCATCCTGCCGGCTTCTCCCATTCTCTTTCTCTCCGGCCTTCTCGCGAAAGCCAAATCCCGTCGTAATTTTTTACGTAACACGCTTCGCTATGAATATCGATGCCCGGGGAATTAAGGAGGGCACGGTTTTCCGTAATTGAAAGAATTTTTGTCGTGCTGAGCCAGCTGGCCCGCTCATAAAAGGAGGTTCTCGCGTTTCCTCCTTCTTTCTTCTTCTTCTTCTTCTTCTTCTTCTTCCTTCTCCGTCCGTCACTTTTTTTCCCTTCTTCCTTTTTCTTTCTTTCTTTCTTTCTCACCTTTTTTTCTTTCCAGAGAGCGAAGAAAGGGGTGTTTCTCCCGTTTGCGCGACGTCGGATGACGACGGTGACGAGGATTTTAATAAATTAGTGAAACGATCCGCTGACTGGCGACTTCTTCTTCTTCTTCTTCTTTCGAGTGACGGAAGCGGAACGGGATGTTCCTTCCTTATTTCGTTTCTCCTTTAATTTTTACTCCTTTGGAAAACCGTGCGACAGACGAATGATACTTGATCTCGTCGTTATATTTCGGTTCAGAGCCTTTCGATTCAATCGGCTATCGAATTCCTCAAATATCAAATTTTACGATGAAAGTCGTTTATTTTGCCGAATCGAATAATATCCATAATATATCCATAATTTATCCATAATATCCATAAACAGGTTTACGTTTATTAACAGGTTACATCGGTCTCTGTATGATCGGATTAATTCGATCCGTTAGCGACGTAAATTAGCAACGATTAGGAAGAAACGGGAAATCTGAGGTATTTATTTTGGTAGCGTGCCAAATGTTTCGGCGATGTCTGTCAATTTCTGGAATATTCAATCAGCCAAGAAACGGTCGGCTCTAGATAGAAGCCAAGGGAGAATTCAAGTTCGCCACAACATCGCGACGTCTCGCATAGTCTTGGAAGTCTCGGTTTTATCTACATTATTAACCGGTTGAAACCTCACGGCTGTGTACTTAAATCCAATCTAGAAATCCCACCCTTCTAGTCTCCCACCTTACTACCCTCGAGGGGCGAAGGTCGACAGAGACTGGCAAGGGCGATTACCCT